AAGGGGTTCCGGGGCCAGGCTTCTCCTGGTCAAGACTTGAACTGGACTTGCAGATTGTACATGTGTCTAGGGTTTAGGGTTTAGGGGTTTAGGGTTTAGGGGTTAGGGGTTAGGGGTTTAGGGTGTAGGGCTTAGGGGTTTAGGGTTTAGGGGTTTAGGGTTTAGGGTTTAGGGGTTGGGGATAAGGCTGTCGTCTCCTTAGGAAGAATTTTCTTAAAGACTTATCATAGTGTATACCAACGGAATTATGTGAAAGATATTTTGTTACTATATTAGGTCTAAGGATTAAGGAATTACAGTATAACCCTGAGGAATTGTGAGAAATATTCTTTTTATCTGAGGACTAAGGAGACTACAGAAGGGTTAAGGGTGTAGGGCGACATGTACGGTTTATGTAGGTACACGGGATATATATGGACTTACAGGAATATTGCAGTTTCCCAAAATCGGGGAATCCCAATTTAGACCCCACAATACTATAATCCGTATCATTGGGACGCCCCAAAGTTCATGTTCAGAGGGATGAGCTTGGAGGGCATGGGGTTCATGCAGGGGCGTCGTATTGCTGCAAAGGTATGAAATTTTGTGATTGTAGTCAGGCTGACTATTACCTCAGTATTGGAGAAACGAAGGGAATGGGACCCAATATGGTAGTTTCCCAAAATAGGGGGACCCCAATATAGACCCCTAAATATTATATTCCTTATTATGGGACTCCCAAGAAGGTACCCCTCAATCTTAGGAGACCCCCGTATATATGGAGGTACATGAGGGTTCAGGTTTTCGAGCTTTGGAGTTAGGGAGCTTCAGGGTTCAAGGCTGTGCGTGTGTCAGGCTTTAGGGTTTTGACAAGATTGAGGTGTTCATTGGAGGTCCTACTTTGAAAGCGTGGAAGCGCGATCTTTGGCGGTTTCACACTTCCTGCAAGTTGCCTTTCGTTTCTTTTAATCCTGTTACCTATAATCCTAACAAACTGAGCCGGAATGCTCATTTCTACCAGGCTTTCCGGCAACTCAAAATTTCAGCTTAGGTACAACGCGCTCATCAGCGCACACGCCAAGCGCGGCGACGTCGAGCAAGCCCAGAAATGGTTTCAGGAGATGGTGGAAGTTGGATGCCGCTGGAGCTGTTTTGGGCTGACATCATGTGAGCTATAGTCTACACTCTTGAAGGGGCTTGTATAGGGGATTACATAGGGGAGTATTATGGGTGTTATTAATGGGGATACTAAAAGTTTAGACTACAGCCCATGTGAGCCTAGTACCAAGCAACAAAGCGTGACAAAACTTGTATGCATGTGGTCCATACCGTGAACAAGTTACAATTTTGAGGATCAGTTATAGCCTTGCCAACGATACTCCCAAAACGTTCCTAGTCGATTTGTAGGATTCGCCCCAGGAATCATGCCTTGGTAGACCTTTTTGCGTATAGGGTCGTATATCCTTTGGGGTCCCCGAGGCACGCCCGCTTTCAGACCAACCAACTAGAACCTCTAAACCCTAAGCCTAAACACCAAATCCTCACCCCTAAGCCCCACTAAACCTCAAAAACCCTAAACGCTGAACCCTAAACCCCAAAGCCCTAGACCTTAAACCACTTTGCAGCCGCAGGTCATGGTGATGTGGCGAGCTTCTCAGCCCTCGTCCACGCGTGCGCCCGATCCAATCAACTAAAGCGCGCCGAAGGTTGGATCGAGAGGACGGGGTTCTACAGGGGAAGTATACAGCTCTATATATATATATATGTACATCTTTCTCTCTCTATATGTGTACGAGCCATAGCTCAAACTTCCTAAGGGGGGTGGTATAAGGAATTATATAGGGACTACTCAACAGGTTACCAAGGGGGATCCTACTATGGCTCATATATATATATATGTATGCAACGAACCCTCTTGGAATAGTAGAGAATCAAACGCAAACTGAAATGGAAACTGCTGTAGTATTAGGGTTTAGGGGTTAGGGTTTAGGGTGCAGGATTTTCAGTTGAGGGATTGGGGACCCGGAGGATGGAGCAGTCCGGCGTCCAAGCGAATGTGGCTGGGCTGTGGAGGGAGTTGCAGGGCTTCTACGGGGGATATACAGTGACATATACAGGATAGCTATGTTTGGGGGTAGGCGGGGTATGGCCTTCTTTTTTCTTCTTAGGGTTTATAGTCACCCTGAAGTAGATAGAATATGGCGTGGGGTATATTATACTAAGAACCCCATACACCCCAGAATCTATCTACTTAAGGGGGCTATACCCTAAACCCTAAACCGTAAATAGTAATTTCCATTGGCTTCCGGCTTTTAGGGTCTTGTATGTTTCAGGGTCTAGGGATACGGAATCCTGCCGGCAAGCAGTATGGAACCGTTCCATGGGCTTCAAGGTTTTGAGCTCTCTTCTGGGGTACCTTCTGAGGGTTGCTTTAAAGGGGGATATAGGGTATATTGGGATATCATAGGGGTTATATAGGGTTTATTTATATTGGAGTTATGTTGGGAGAACGGAAAATAAAATGGAAACTGCTATTTAGGGTTTAGGGCGTGCGTGTGGGCTTTGAAAACCCCCTTTTGTGACGCAAATGCTTCTTTGCTTGACATGCCCTAAACCTCAGGCACAAATCCTGAACAGACCCCAAACCATAAACGTAAACTCTAAAACTTACATGGCAAGAAGCCTGCATCTAAACATTTTTTAAGACCGGTAGTCCGTGGTCTCTTCCATGGCATTCTTTATGTCCACGTGCACACATGGGGATCCATGTTGTGGCATATAGGGAGGATTTGCGACTCTAAGCCCTAAACAAGCACTGCAAAACCCAGGTGGTGACCTACAACAGCATGATCAACGCCTGTGCGCGATGTGCCAATGCAGCCGCTGGGCTGATATTGAAAATGCAGAGGGGTTTAGGGTTGAAGGGGTCTCGGGTTGAAACGGTTTCTGGAAGTTTCCTAAGGTGTTTCTTCATTCTGATAAATTCTGTTACCGCAACCCTAAGAGCCAGCTGAAATCGCGGTTCCAGGGGACGCAAAGGTTGTGTAGGCGGATACACAAACTTCAATCAAGGCTGAGAGTTTAGTTATGATCCCCCTTAAGAGATAGAATATGGTTTTGGATATATTCTATCTACCTAAGGGGGACCATAACAGGGTCATAGTCACATTCGGGATCACGAAGGTAGGAGTTACAGTTTCTTGCTTACAGGGCATCCCGGAACCTTCAGCCTCGACCCCAGACCAACCATAAAACCAACCCAAACCCAAAACCAAAAACCCTAACCCCTAAGCCCTAAACCCGAAATCCGAAACCCCCTGAACCCCAGACCAACCCCAAAACCAATCCTAAACCTTGGACCCTCAACCCCTAATTTTGAGAATCTTCCGCATCTGCGTGAGGACAGGGCGGAGGCGTGGTTACGGAGGATGGAGGCCAGTTGGTCCCTTTCAGGGTTAAGGGTGTACGGGTTCCAAATTTTAGGGTTTAGGCTTTCAGAGTTTCTAGGATTCGGTGATGGATGAGAGTTGTGTGGGGATGTAGGGGTTATGTCTTATTGTTTGCGCAACGAGACACCAAAACCTGGCAGACCGCTTTACTTTGAGCCCCCAAAAATTTCGGACCAGCTTGTCTGTGAAGTGTCATAGCGAGTGATGACCTGACGTTGAGCCCTTCGTGGAGCGACGTGGGACAGCACCCTGACACTCTCTCACAGAAGGCTGCGGTCAGAAAGCCCTGAGATATTGAAGCGGTTCTGCCTGCGTTTTGGTTCACGTTGTCTTGCCGCTCTTGCTTTCTTGTCTTTGCGTCTTTGATTTCCGATAGTGTGCCCAGCCCAGCGACACTTGTGCTTCGTATAAACGCCGTGGTTTTGCATCTGGAGTCGGGTTTAGGGGTCGGGCCCGGCCTGCCGGAACTCCATACACCCCGCCCCCCCCGCCTGGAGATGAATAGTGCTCCCAAAGCAGTACCATGACATAAGGGAGGAAAGGTTTAATTGTCAGCTGCAGGGTTCGGGCTGAGCGGTTCGGGTTGAGGGGTCGCGGCTCAAGGGGCTTTAGGGTATGGCATCTAGAGGGCAAGACAGAGCAAAATACTCGTGGTTGTAGAAAAAACATCACATCAGAAGTATTACCACCCCTTGTTGAGTAGCTGTGTAGGTAGCCCTTTGAGTATAATGCAACCCATAATCAAGAAAGAGGTCACTAGCAGCAGTAGATGTTTGATTTAGGTGTGTTTTTGAAAAATATCAGCCAAAGTTCGCAACAGCCGTAACAATAGTAGCACGTCTTTATGCAAAAGCCGAAGGATTCAAACGATGAATGAGGCTACGTCTCCACGTTCAGCAAGACTTGCAAAGCAACTCTAAGGCTCAAGCCCACACCTCCCAAAGCCCCATAGTCCCCCTTAAGTAGATAGAATATGGGGTATATGGGGATCTTAATGTAGTATACCCAAAGCCATATTCTATCTACTTAAGGGGGACTATAAACCCTAAACCCCCAAAAGCAGCACCGCCGACTTCTACACCTGAATGGCTATATCATCCTTGCTTATCCTTACATATGATTTACACTCCGTTTACATCCCTCTAGACCTAGCTGTTTCCTTATCTTACCCTAGAACCTGATACAACAACATAAAACCCTACACCCTAAACCCCTAAACCCTAAACCACTAAACCCTAAACCCTAAACCCTAAACCCTAAAACTCTAAACCCTAAACCCTCAGAGGCCAATGGCTTGCAGCCCGTACTTGTCACCTACAACTCCCTCATCAACGCCTTTGTGAAAGCCGGTCGGCACGCCCGTGCGGAAGAGTACCTCACTGACCGGGCAAAGTTTTTTTTTCTTCTTTCTTGTCCCTTTCGAGAAAGTGCTTTGTGTGGGCCTTAATAAGTTTAAGGTCGACTGTGGGATTGTATAGGGATTGCAAGGGTATATGATGGAGAATCAAATGGAAAAGAAGATGGAATGGACACTGGGCTTAATTAGATAGGGGTTAAAGGCCAATTGTTTCATTACATATGTCATTTGAAGGTCGATCTGAGGTACCGTCGACCCTAGTTAGGCAAAGAAGCCAGGACCATAATATTGCTTTTAGTGCCCTACAGGTTTTTCTTGCTTCTTTGTGTAGTCAGCTACAAGTGGAAAGGTATCTCTCCATCATGGGCAAGAATCGCATTCAGCCTGATGCAGTTACCTACAGTACCCTGATCCATGCCTGGGTGAGTGCGCGCGATCCCGCGCGAGCTGAGATGTGGCTGAAGAGAATGATTGCGGAATGCCCAGCAACATGGTCTCCATGGTGAAAGGTGGTTTCTGCTCCCTTTGTGCTTCTACGGTTTCATCTGGTGTGCGCCTATTTTCATATTTATATACGTGTATGTCACGTTCTGCAACAACAACCTACTCCCCCCAAAGTCCTTCTACACCGTAAAGAAGTTTGATTCGAGGAGCTTGCAAACATTGCGATTTCCACAAAAATGTGGGACACAAACATAGACCCCAATAGATTGTGATCCCTACTATGGGGACCCCCCAAACCCTAAGCCCTATAGAGGAACCCTAATTTGAGAACCCCCCCCTCCACATGGTTCAGTAACCTCCGGGGCAAGCCTGAAGCCGCAACCTCCAAACCCTGAGCTCTAGGGGTTTAGAGTTTAGTGTTAAGGGTTTAGGGTTATGGGTCTAGGGTTAAGGGTTTAGGCTTCAAAGCCCTAAGCTCTAAGCCTTAAATACCCAAACCAAGCTGTATATCCCCAACTGGCGCGAATATTTGCCTCATCTGTCCATGCCATACGGCACACCCGGCCCCAATCCTAAGCCCTAAGCTCTAAACACGAAATTCTAAACCCTAAACCTTAAATCCTACACCCTATAACCATAACCCTAAACCAAAAACCCTTATCCCTATATAAACCCCTCATAGCCCTACCCTAGAACCCCCATGAACCCTAAACCCTAACCCCCTAAACCTATTCTTCATATGTATACCCTAAACCTTAATGTCATTCGTGGTTGAATGGTCAAAANNTCGTGGCATTTTGCGCGCGCATTCGGGGCATTTTGCGCGCGCATTCGTGGCATTTTGCGCGTGCATTCGTAGCATTTTGCGCGGGCATTCGTGGCATTTTGCGCGCGCATTCGTGGCATTTTGCGCGCGCATTCGTGGCATTTTGCGCGCGCATTCGTAGCATTTTGCTCGCGCACTCGTAGCATTTTGCACGCGCATTCGTGGTTTTTTGCTTGCGCATTCGGGGCAAACTTTCGTGTGTTTTTTGCTCAAACTTTCGTGGTTTTTTGCTCAAACCTTCGTGGTTTTATGGTCGCGGAGCTCTGGGGCTATCCAAAGGCCTCCTAAGCTTTTCATGGATTTCCAGGTGTGTTCAGGAACATGGTTCGAGGGTGGGGTGGGGATTATACGGATAGGGTTTAGAGTTGAGGGTTTAGGGTTTAGAGTT